CCATATCAAGGCCATTATCGATTCAGATCGTCATAGCAAAACACATGATGTTGCAGAGAAGCTCAATGTAAAAAAAGAAGATTATGCTATTAGTCTGATGGGATTATAAAGAAATTTTACACTTTAAACTTTTACCAAAAAATTATACGAATGATTTGAATCTGTACTTTTTAAGCAAAAATTTGGAATTTTCATTCTTATTTAAAATCTGCAATCACTTAGTTGCCAATTTAATAGTTTTGAGAGTAATAAATAAAAATTTGACAACAAAAATGTTTTCTTTTAAGTTACTTCTTATAATCTGAAATATTTTCCTTGTAATTATCTTTATCGGAAATCTCTAGTTCGTCGGTTGTGTATGGTATCTTTAGTTTCTAATAGTTTTTTTTTTCATCGAAATTTTAATACTACTCTCATATGCTATTTGAGCCGTTTATTTCGAAAGTGGCCTAACTCCGTTTTTCAGTTTTTTCCGGTTATCATGGTTACGTGTACAACTTTATGTTATTTATCAGTAAAGCATTTCAGGTTGCTTATAATCCGAGCAAATACGATAATTCTTGACACATAAGTTTTCAGAGTTAGTTTAATAATCGAACCGTGTAGTTTGAAAGAGGCCTAACTCCATTTATACTTAAATAATCAAGATAATATATTTACAATTGATAATGACGGAAAGTAGTGATGAAGGTAATATTAATTAATTAGTATTTACAATTTAACCTCAGTTTTTGGACAATTGCGTTAGTTGAATAACCAGTACGTTTAATTAATATAAAACTTAAAATTTATTATGAAATTTTAGAAATTATTTCACCCATGGGGAAGAATAGAACAAGACTATTATTTAGTTTAGATAGTGAAGAAGTAATAGTAAGTAATGATTTAAAAAAAAAAACCGAAAAAGAAAACAAATTATAGAACAATATTCGTCTTCAGAGGATGAAGATATGAATAACAATAGAGAAAAAATTGATGAATCACACATTGAAAAAGTTCGAAAGATTAAACGAAATTCAGGAAAAAGATATTGTACTCAAACCGGAAATATTGTACCGGAAAAAATTTTCGAAAACAAAGATTGCCGTTGTCGGAATACATGCACAAAAAATTACGATGAAAAAGAAAGAAAGAATATTTTTAAGAAGGTTTTGGAAATTGGGGGTTTTGGAAATTTTAACAAACAAAATGTGTTGCTTTACGAAGCTGTAGAGCGCAAAATTGTGGAACGAAGACGTCTAACAAACGGAAAAAGTTCGCCAAGAAATTGGAATTTTAGATATTTGTTGCATTCTACAAACGGAAAAGTTCCCATGTGTAAAAAATTCTTTTTAGATACTTTTAAAATAAGTGAAGGACGCTTAAAACGAGTATTAAACTCTGCAAA